GGTAACCCTACATTCAATTAGCTCGCAGTATTGCCTGGAAAATCTGCGTAGTTAGTCCCTGGGTCTGCATGCCATATCCCCACAGGGTTGTGGCCTCAAGTTTTAGGAGGTGCCTCTTGTGTTCCTCAGGCCAACTCAAACATCTGCTACCAACAGGATCAAGTGCTTGCCTGCAGATAGTGAGTGCTCACACTGCTGCTCTGAGGAGTGGCAAAATATACCCCATCCAGAGAAATCCTGCCCTGCATTGGGAAAATTCCTGGGACAGCAGTCGCGCTCTGTTCGCCCTTGCTGTGCCAGCCAGGAGTAGACTCCTCTGTCCCAGTTCCATAAAATATGTTCCACAGACTTCAAAAAATCAATTAAATATGTTCACTGCTTTTTCTTCTCTCATTTCACAGTTTGGCTTTGCACAATTCCCAGTGGAGTGGCTTCCCAGAACATTGCACCAATGGTGAAAGCACAGCGCTACAAAGCATCAGTCCTTGTCTAGTTATAATCATCAGACTTACACATGTTGCAAGTTTTCTCAGAGAAAAGCCCAATATATATATATTTCCTGTACAGCTGTTTTTTAAGCCGGAACAGTTCTCCACATGTACCAACAGATGTGTCTTTGCAGCACGAGTCTTGGAAATGACAATTTCATCTTTAAGGCAGCAAATACCCTTTTGACAACTTTAGATTAAGAAAAAGACTTTAAACTGGACGGAGTCTGTCTCTGCATAACATTCAGCATCAGCAGCTCAGTAAGCAGTTAACTGATTCACTCCTGCCTTGGTGCTTGGGTTGCAGGTTTGTGGGTTTGTTATTTTCTCTTGCTGTTAATCAGCTGATAACATACTGGCAATGAGCTGTAACTGGCTGTGATTGCATTTCTCACATGTTTGCTGGAGATAAAGTACAAACAATTTGTGCTGAGCTTCACTGATAAAGTTTCAAAACAATTAGGGAAAGCAAATCAGTTCTCCAACACAAGGTGCAAGACTTCTTATTTAAGATTCTGGAAAGTATCTTTGTGCTACTTCTATTCAAATCAAGATACTGGTCGAATGGTTATTTCTGTATTAAGAAATTGGCTATGAATCTGGAAGTACAATTGCTAAAGTTTTACCTGTATAAACCCCTAACACTAAACTAGTGCTGAGTGGGGTTTAAATCTGTGAAGTTTAATTTATCTACCTATGCCAAGTCCCTTCACTGATGTAATTAATGTAGCAGTTTAGAAGTTATTAGTACTAGAACTACTCCTAAATTGGTTGACTGCATCAACTTTAAGCCAGTTTACCGGATGCAAGCCAGTCGAGGATTTGGTCTGCTCTAAGAAACTTGTGCTCTGTTCTGGTGGTCCTAAAAAGAAGATGCGAAAAATACTGGAATGTCTTAGATTCTGATTGGTGGACTTCTCTTCCTATTGTTACAAATGCGGTGGGTCTCTGGGAAATATCTAGGTATTTTCCAGTGATCCACCCAGCAGGAAACTATAGTAGTCCATGTATAGTAGTCCATGTATACATTACATGTACACATCATTAATTAATCAGGAGGTTAAGTCCAGATTGCCCACTTTTCTAGGTGTTAGACTTCCCAGCCCACCCTAATCATTTAAAAATTCTTCTGAAGGGGCTGCTTCTGAAGTGCCTCACATTTCTCCAGAAACGTATCACTGCCATTTCAGTGTAAGGGGTTGCGCAACTTGCTTTGTAGTTTTTGGCACCCAACCATTATGCGTCACATCTTTTGTGAACACATTAAGCTTAAGTAAAATTAATATCTTCTCTTTAGTCTGTAGTTAATTGGCTAGGTGCCTAGGGTGACTAAGGAAACTGACTACAGCTTTTATTGAACCTGGAATTAATTCTGCTAGAAAAATTGTGTGTGTTGAAAAAATTGTTCAAGAATGTCTAATGAAACCAATAGAAACATCATTATCCTAGATTCAAGAATTGTTTATTTGCTTGCAATACAACAGGTGATGATAGTGGTAGGAGGGAAGCAAAGCTGCCTTGCAAATAAATGGCTTGATCCAAACTCCGCAAATGTCAATGAGAGTCATTCTGGATGCATCTACATGTGTGCTTTATTGCAGAGTTGACTAATTAGCTGTGAAGTAAAGCGTCACTGTCTACACATGCGCCAGTAACTCTGATGTAAGATAGTACTGTCAGGGACAGTACTATTTTACTGTGTAGTTATTTACTTCACCAAAACACACATGTAGATGGTGACTGGGGCTGGCTGGGGCATGAGGGTGCTAAAGTGCTGGGGCTGCCTCCTGCATGGCTCCGCACTTTAGCACTCTGGTCAGTGCCAGATTTAGGCATAAGCTAAGTAAGCTTCAGCTTAGGGCTTCACATTATGAGGGCCTCTAAACCAACCCCCCAGGCTGTGAAGGGCTGACTGCCGGACCAACATCTGAAGGCACTTACTAGTGTCTAGTCTAGGCATTTAGACTAGATATCCGAAGGCACTACTTCACAGTCAGCTAGGATCTGGAACCAGCCTCTAAGGGAAGTGGTGATGGCTCCTACCCTGGGGGTCTTTAAGAGGAGACTAGGCATCTACCTGGCTGGGGTCATTTGAGCCCAGTTTTCTCTCCTACCCAAGGCAGAGGGTCGGACTTGAAGATCTACAAGGTCCCTTCCGACCCGACTTCTATGAATCTATGAATCAATGGAAGTGACTGTGGACCAGCAAACCGCAGCCCTGCAGAGCCAGATGGAAAGACTGTGACTCCTTGTGCAGGGCCCGCGGCAGCTGCAGTTGAGGTTTGGGCCCGCCCCTCCGCCTGGGGGGTGGAAGTATATTTACCTGTGTTCCTGCCTGAAATTCCAGCCATGGGGCTCCGCGCGGTGGTCTGCAGTTTGCCAGGCTGCGGTCATGGCCACTTCCAGTCCGCAGTTTGCCGGGCTGCGGCATAGAAAATTTGGGAACCCCTGTCTTAGGGCCCCAGCATGTCATAATCCACCCCTGACTCTGGTGCCCCAGCCAGAAACTGTAGCGCCCTGACACTGCACAACACCACCACCCAGAACCCACGGCTGACCCCCAGAGCCCGTTGCCAGCCCAGGGCTGCTCTGTCTCAGTTCAAACTGCTGCTGGCCTGGGTACACATGCAGATGCTGCACCCAGAAGCAACTGAAACAGCTCTGGAGCTTAGTGAGTCATCTTAATTGCACATGTAGATACACCCTCCATTGACTTAATAGAGCTGAATCAAGCAAGGGTTCAGTAAATTGTTAGCAGTTATGTAGACAAATTCCACCTTTATCACCCCAGTGTAAAACCAGAATAATTCTGTTGAAAAATCTGGGTCTGATTCTTTATTTTTTATACTGTTAGAAGTGACAGGTAGTTCTGTTGCAGATAATGGAGTTACACCCAGGTAACACTGGCAGAAATGAAACTTAATAGGAATGAAGAGGGAGGGAGAAATAAACCCCCTCCCTGCCCCCTTTGTTTCAGCCATGTCCCTGCCCCTGCCACTGGAGCAGTGAAGGGGGGACCATGACAGGGACTGTTTCACCCCAGCCAGGCAGACCCCAGGCCCCTGGGAAGAGAGCAAGGGAACAGGCCTTATGAAGAGAGGCTGCGAGCTATGAGTCTCTTTAGCCTGGAAAAGCGCAAGCTTAGGGGTGACCTGGTGGCAGCCTATGAGTACATAAAGGGTGCACATCAGGATCTGGGGGAACGCCTGTTCACCAGAGCGCCCAAAGGGATGACAAGGTCCAGCGCTTACAAACTCGTGCAAGACTGTTATAGGCTGGACAGAACGAAAAACTTCTTTACTTTTCAAGCCCCCAAGGCCTGGAACAGACTCTCCCCAGAGGTGGTGCAAGCACCTACTCTGGACACTTTCAAGAAACATTTGGACTTTTATCTTTCTGGGATCCTTTGACCTCAGCTGACTTTGTGCCCCTTTGGGCAGGGGGCTGGACCTGATAATCTTACAAAGTCCCTTCCAGCCCTAATGTCTGTGAAATCTATGAAAAATATAGCTAACAATATTCTGTAATGTAAATCTACCATACATCGACAGGAAATATTTTGAATTCTTAATCAGAATATCTACATCAAAATATTCCATCCCCAGCCTTTTTCATATCCTAATGTTTTTTGTACTATTTTTTGTTTGACTAACAAGCACTGTGCTTTGTATTGTACAAACATAGAGGAAAACCCTGATTGACTTGATGCAGAGTTTCGAAAGTGCCTCAAAGATTTAGGGACACAAGCTCCCACCAACACTTTTTTAAAGGAAGAAGTAAAATCAGGAGAGGACAGCTGTTGAGATGAAAAGGATGCAGGGGACAATCCAGTGACAGGATACATGGCTACCAAATAATATTTGGAAGGCACAATGGCACAAAGAAAAAATCCAGAGAAGGACACAAAACTTATTTGTGCTATGAGTTCATGACAGTGAAGGCAGAGATACGATCAAGGGTGTCAAACAGGAGGACGGAGAAAAGAAATAGATGGAACTGGAACAGGAGAAATGAAAATGATTGAGGGGCAGAATTGCATGTAAAGGGTAGAACAGGAAGCTTGAACTTCATATGACAGACAGGAGGAAGCCAGGGTTCAGAAGGAAATAGTATGGTCAGAGCAGCTGTAAAGGGAGATGATCTCTATAGTGCAAATATGTTGAGACTATGAGGTGGTCCTAACATTACTTTTGAAACTGTCTTGGTCTCCAAAGAAGTTTGTTTTTCCCAGGGGTTTACCTTCCCTTGTCTCCTTTTAAGTGCACATTATGGAGTAAAAACAAACAGCAATTATGTTCAGGTAACATTAAGTGTCTGACCTGAATCCACAAACACAGGGAATCTTTTGAGCCAAACCTGGGAAACTCCATCCTTAAGTCAATTGTTTAAGAAGGGCTGCAAATGTGGTGCATGAGATCATCTCACAGATTGAGACCCCAGTAATTGCATAAAGAAAGCATGGTTCACTCAGGATGAAGTTTGAACTTTAGCTCTGGAGAGCCTGGCTTTTGTTGGCTTAAAAGAAAACTGAACCTCTTGTGCTTATTGCATTGTCCTAAAGGGCTAGATAATGACATATCTTTTCCTAGACCAACAAACAAACTGCAATACTCCAGCTTTGAGGACTAAATGGTCTACCCTTCAGGTGTTCGCAGTTCAACCGAAAGGTCAAGTCTTAAAAGGTGAGTTTAAGTTGATCTATTTACTGTAATTTGCATTAGATACAATGCAGAGAAAACTTTTTCTTTGTGTTACAGGAAGCAGAGAGATTACATCAAAGAGTGCTGAAACGTGTTCTGTAAGTTCACAGAGTGAGAACCCCTTTGGTCTAGATAGCTGGATGGAAATCTCATGAGAACAGGCTCTCCCATAACATCTTTAGTCATTCCTAATCCCTGCTGGCTCAGAAACATCACAGGGATGGCATTTCTTAAATTATTTTTGTAGCCCTGCTTTTGGTCAAAATCAGGAAGCACATAAACCTTACAAACAAACAGAAGCCTAACAGGCAGAGGGAGCCTCAAAAGGAGGTTTAGCTCGGATTTAGTTCATGTTTTGGGTAAAGCTTTGATTTGATTCCACATTATAATATTAGTAACAATTCTTCATACTCTCATCAGAGGATCAGGTACACCCTTAAATCTGGTGTATGCGTAAAGAATTTTACCAATATATTTATGTCATCAAGTGCTTTTATTTTTCACTGACATAGTTAAGCCATAGTTAAAACCACCTTATTATAGGAGTAGTTATACCTGTTGAAAATACTTTGTATATCTTATTTTGCTTTGCCAAACCAGAATAGTGTATGTTTATATTGGGGCAGGGAGTTTGTAAGTGTTCTAGCATGTTTTAAGTGGAGAAGTTTTACACGTAGAAGCCTTTTTTTTTTTAAATCTCTCACGGTTGCTCCCAGCATTGTTCAGACAGAGGCAAGTCTTGTTTCTGGTAGAAGTTGTGTCAGCAGGGAGCAGTCATTACCACCCAGCAGCACAACACAGACACATCCACCTCCTCCACTGTGGCAGCTGCTCTACCATACTGTGTTGAGAAGGCCCCAGCGAGTGAAGAGACCACTACAGCCCCTACAAGGCATGTTGTCTACACATGCCTTCTTCTGGGTGTTGGATGGGGAGGAAGGCCTTTCTCTGCTCAACAAATGTGATGTGATTCTACTGGGAGAAAGGAGGGATCTGCCACTCCAAGGGAGCGTTGGGTATAGATATTTGGTAGCGTAGACCAGTGGTCTCCAAAGTGGGTGCGTGCACCCCAGGGGGTGCGCAAGACGATCCATTGGGGTGTGGGAAGAAAATATTAGAACTTCTATTTCTATTTATATAAATATACATATATTGGGGGTGCGTGCTCAAAAAATTTATACTGATAGGGGTGCGCGAATATAAATATACATATATTGGGGGTGCATGCTCAAAAATTTTTTACCGATAGGGGTGCACGATCAAAAAAGTTTGGAGACCACTGGTGTAGACCACGCCAGACCAAGAGTGGGGAGAGGCAGAGAGGCAATCTATAAGGCCTCTTCACTGATGAGCCATTCTCCTTTCCATTCTCAAGAGTGTCAGAGACATAGTGCCTAGACTTTTTGGCTGCTTACGTATGTAAAAAGAACCGGTGCTTTACTTTACGAGCACGCATCAACTGCTGAAACTTCCTTAGTCTGATGAAGGGTTTTTGAACCCAAAAGCTTGCTTAGATATTGTTCTCCAACTATTTAGTTGGTCTAATACAAGATATCAGATTCACCCAAAGAACCTTGTCTTACTTTAAACTCGGCACACCCAGTGCACAAGCCCAGCGCACACCCGGAAGAGACAGCATGTTAGTTGGACCTGGCTCCCCAGTGTCTGTATGTATCAAGCGCTTCAGTGGGGTTTTTATGGCACTTTTATCTAATAGCTGATTCAATCAGCTATTAGATAAAAGTGCCAAAAAGCCCTGCTGAAGCACCCAGTCTATATAGACTCTGTGGAGCCAGGTTGAACTAACGTGCTGCTTCTAATAAAGCATGGGTTTTTTTCCATGTCTGTCAGTGCCCTTTGTGAATCCCCTTCCATACAGGCAAGCCATAGTTTTGTGGGAAGGGACAGCTGTGTATCCGTGTGCATATCTGTGGGCTTGCTGATGATTCTTTGATTTCATCCTTTTTTTTCACCAGGCAAACTTTAAAATAACTTGGAACTTTTTTAATTGAGTTCATATTTGTATTCTTCTTTCCTCTCCTAAGCCTTGAAAAAAAAACCACATTCAGGTGAGAGAGTATATTTGCAAAGCAATGTTTTCTGTTCTGTTGCTTTTAAGAGTCCAGACTACATTGCATTGTAAATAATTGGCATTTCCTTATTTTATCAGGAAAATATGAGATCGCTTACTCATTCCCAGATATCCAGAAAGTGGTTTATACAGCAGCAGCAGGAAGAAGAAAACTGATCATGCCCATAAGAGTGACAATCTGCCCTGAGTATCAGTTCTTGGCATGCTTTAAATTAGGTTATATTACTGTTTGCAACTCAAGATTGAGTTTGCCAGTAAAGAGGCAGTTTGAGGAAAGTAAAAATGTTTGGCATTACTCAACCGTTCTATTAGTTTAGCTCTAAAATATACATGAGAAAACTCTACCAGTAAGGGAGGCATCGTTGAGGACATATATACAAAAATCTGGAACTTTTGCTCAGTACCGCTAAAGTTAAAAGTAAATATAGCATTACAAGGAGGTGGCAGGGTAGAGGTGCACCTCATAGTTCACCTGAATAGCACTACAAAGGAGAATGGCTGTTGTCAAATAGCCAGGGCAGGGAACTAGTAGTCGTGGCTCTCAGACTGCTATCAACTTCATGGCAAGTGCAGAACATCTCCAATTCCCAGTGGCTTCATTTGGGATTGATGGTGGTCAGCATTCTGCAGGATGAGGCTTTTGACCAGGTCACATAACCTCTCAGGGTCTCAGCTTTCCCACCTTAGTTCAGTGAGAACTACCCAGAAAATGTATCTGATCAGTGGTCACAAAACACATAACAAAACTGGTCTTTTTACCGCATATATTGCACATTAATCTGCAAGTAAACTCTTTGAATCCAGCTGACTTACAAAGACTACCCCAGCATGAATGACGTTGGCAGAATCTGACTCAAAATATCTTTATTAGGACCACTCAAGACACAGCTCTTTAATGCAGAGTGCCTGCAGATACGTTATTAACACTCAGTTCTGTTTACAATTATTATACGTTGTGCATGGCTGGTTCCCCAAATAGTGGGTGGGGGAGCCTTGTTGTTTTTGGATCTGCTGTGTTTGAGCCTGTTTCACATCTCATCTCCGTCATCTGACACTTACATGATCTGAAATTCTTTACCCTCATTTTGCAAAGGAACACGGAACAAAAGCTTAGTAGCCGCTAATTACTGGCAAACACTGTGCAAATGTTGGAATGAGAACCTAACTGAAACAGATCAAGAGACATTTTTAAATTGTAATTTAATTGCTTTTTTATTTTAAAAAATGTTTTCAGATCCACAGTTAGTAGAGCAATATATACTGTTTCAATTTTGTAACTAACTTTCCAAAACAAATGCTAGAGCCCCACCCACATGTCCCTGACCCAGGAAACTGTATGAGTTGAGAGATCTCATAAACAAATTTATTAATAATGAAGCATCAGAATTTAGGAAGTGCCTTCATCGAAGGAGCTAAAGATGCTAAGCATTAATAACAGTAGTTGATTAAGGCTTGGCTTTTCAGAGATCAGAGCAAGTCCTGAGAAAAGCCAATAGGCCTGTGGTTAAGGTCTTTACCCTGGATGTAAGAGGTCTGGATTTAAATCCCTAGTCTGTCTGATTTAGAGCAGGGGCTTGAACCAGGATTATATACCTCTCTTTCTGACCAAAATTTCATCCTGGACTTGAGAACTCTTGACAAAACTTTTCCCAAACTTATGTCTACAAAGAGCTTTGGTTTCAATAAACTGGCACTTTCTAGCAACAGTGTTTGTCCAAATATTCTCAGCCAGTTTGAACAATAACACACCCATGGGATAGCTATAGGAAATACTAAAACAATTTTTCATGTATTTGTTCTAGAAATTCATCTTGCAGATATTTGTCATATGAGTAACTTTAAGTGCATAGTTCTGTTGTCTTCAATGGGACACATTCATACAAATAAAATTACTTATATGTCTGTGTTTGAAGGATTGGGACCCTCATTGCATTGCATGCTATTTTTCTAAATGTACAAACTCTCTTTGAAGGGTCTCTCTTTGTGTCCCTGTTCTCTCAGGGGCATTGATTAAATGAGAAAAGTTTGGAAAGATGGATACAGGAAATTGGGAGTTTGGACTCCTGTGTTCTGTTCCTCTTTGCTACTGGCTCAGCATGGGAACTTAGGGGAGTTAATCTTTAAACTCTCAAAACATTATTAATTAGTTTTAATTAACTAAACTCTGGAAGCAATGTTCCAAGGCTTTTAAGTAGTTATTGTTGTTAAGGCATTGTAAGATGTTCAGCTGGAAGGTAACATGTAAGTGCAGAATATTATTAAAAATGTGTCTCATTCAAACTGCATAGGACCATGTTCATTAAGCCTAAAAATCATTCTCTGATAGTTAATCTACAAGGATCCATTTGCTGATCTAGGCAAGACTTCCCCTCTTTAACTAAAGCATTCAGAAACAAAAGAGGCATACGTTATGCTTTTCCATCCCACAATGTATATGATCCGACCCCAGATCAAACTAACAAGCTAAAACCTCTTACTCCTACTTGCAGTCATAGAAAAATAGGGCTGGAAGGGACTGCCTGAAATCATCGAGTGGCCCAACCTACTGCTCAAGGCAGGATCATCCCAGTTTAAACCATCCCCCAAAATATTTGTCTAAAGTGCAGTGATGAAGATACAAACTATCACCTCAACTTCCTAGCCACAGTTACCCATGATACAGCTGTCACACTTGGCATCATCCCAATTATATCATCATTGATATCTTGACTGTGAAAGATATTTATCTTTGCAATGCATATTGTAATGTGCCATGCAGAAGTCTGTCTGCTTTTCTATTTTTCTCTGGTCTTCTCAGCAGAACTGAACAAACAGTGCTAAACGGTCAGAAATCTGGCATATTCCTGACTTATAACTTGGGTGACAGAAAGCTTACAGGAAACTTCTGAATGTGAGTCAAATATTGTCAGCAGAAGCAAGGAAAATCAAGGCATATTGAAAGAGCAGTCCTAGGAAAGATGTAACTCTAATCTTTTGACTTTATAAATTACTCTGTTCATATATATTGCACACCAATAAGCCTATTGTTGGAAAATATGCATATTTGCCTTAGGGTTGCTAGATTGTTCTTCAGTTTGTTTCCTCATATTATTTAGGTCAACAATTTAACTGACTCCTTTTCCTACTTATTCAGGCTCAAATGCTGCCTTCTGATGAATATACTCATCTCCCGTTGGCTTCAGAAGGAGGTTCTATGTGTATTTGCAGGCAAAATTTGGCACCTTTTGTAAAACACTTTGAGAGCAACAGCTGAGGAGAACTGTAAAGGAGGTGATTTTTTATTATTATTTTTGAAAAAGTGTATAAGAATTGTGAAGGAGTTTTGAATTTTAAAATCTAAATAGCAATGCTGATTTTCTGGCAATGTTTTATTATTTCAGCTTCAAAGCTGGTAAGATATTTTAAATATAGTATGTGGATAGTATAACACTGCTCCAATTCAGTGGGTCCTTTACTCACATTTGGGAGTTTCTTGGTGCTACTGCCATAGAAATAATAAACAGTAATGTCAGCTAGGGAAAGGGGAGCCTACTGCAAATTATATATTTGTAAAACCTTAGTAATACTTGACCACCCTTGAACATTGCTGTTAAATGCTTGCTTGAGAAATAAGAAGAGACAAGGTCTGTGTATGATAAGTGCTCATAAATAGTAAGGATTATAGATGCTATCTGAATGTCAGTAGGAGTTGAGCTTTCTTAAGGCCAGAAGGAACCATTAGATCATTTAGTCTGATTTCCTATATAAACAGGTCATAGAATTTCACCCATTTAGTATTTTATTGTATTTGCATTTCAGTAAAGTATATCTTCCAGAAAGACATCCGGTCTTGATTTGAAGACTTCAGGAGACGGAGGATCCACTGCTACTTTGTCCTGATGGTTAATAACCCTTGCAATTAAAAGCCTTGTTTTATTTTTTATTTGAATTTGCCTGGATTTAACTTCCAGCCATTGGTTTTTGTCAAGTCTTCTCTGCCTCATTCAAGATATATCTAACACCTAGTATTTTTTCCTCTTGGAAGTTTTTATGTCCCGTAACCAAATCATCACTTGGTATTCTTTGGGATAAACCAACTAGATAAAAATCCTTTATGATTTCACTGTAAAGCAGCCATAGTTTTCAGCCCTCAAATTATGTTCTGACTCTTTTGTGCACTTTCTCCAATTTTTCATCATCTTTTAAAATACAGACACTGGAACTGGATGAAATAGTGTTTATCTCATCAATTCTACATATTAAGATAAAATCACCTGCTCACTATTCACCACACCCATCTTCTTCCCTACAAGGACTTTATCAGCCCTTATTGCAGAGGCGGGCAATTATTTTGGGTGGAGGGCCTCTTAGTGAGTTTTGGCAAGCCATTGAGGGACTCATGACAGGCAGCCATGGGCAGATCAATATTAATTTTCTAAATGTTTTAGGGGCCCTACAGGCCACATAGAATGGCCTGGCAGGCCATATCCGGTTCGCGGGCTGCATTTTGCCCGCTCCTGCCTTATCACTAGAACATTACTAGGTACTAGGAGACCATGTTCAGTTGCTTGTCTCTATAACCCCTGAATCCATTCCAGTGTCACTGATTTTCAAGATGTATCTCCACCTTTCTATAGATTTAACGTCCATTTCTCATTCCTATAGACTACAACCTTGTATTAAAAGCCTCTGTTGGCAGAGGCTTTGCTTACTGAATTAAACAGCTTATTCTGTAAGCTTCCCCTGTTCATCTAATTATTATTACTTAATCAATCTGATTTTAGCCAAAAATTATTTCATCAATGATTTTATATTTACTTTCACAGGGTTGAAAGTAAATATAAGTGTCTGGCTTAGAATTCCTCCCTGCAAGAGACACCATTCAATGAAGCCTGCCCATTGGCAAATAAATTTGAAACCAGAGTAAGTCAATCTTAATCCTTTTAACTTGTCTTGACTGATATTGTAAAGTCTCTGCAGTACTGTCTTGCAAAAGTCTTACTATGGTATCTCTATGCAGTTATTTTTATTCATAAAACTTGTAATTGTGCCAAAAAAGAAATTGAGTTTGTATGACATAACCTATTTTCCATACAATTATGTTGATTGGCATTGATGATAACCCACGTTCTTTAATTTTTTTAGTGACCAAATCCCTGTATCAGTTTTCCCATTATTTTGTCTGAGACTGAGGTCAGGCTAACTTGCCTACAGTTACCCAGGTCATCCGGCTTACTTTGAAATTTTCCTGCAGCTGGTATGCGTGTGTGCTGTTCCTAGATGGAAGTGAAAATGGAAATAGAGGTGTCAGGGGGTGAGGGACACGCTGGGGAGGGGAGGGGGAAAGCGGGATGTACCAAGGCAGGTAAAAGTGGAGAGGTACCTGGGGAGTCAGATGTCTGCCAGGTTGTAGTGTGTCATAAATCCAATGTCTATACTGAGTCCATGAGT